GTAAGTCGAGTTTCTTAAAATGATTTCCCAATTAAGAGATCTAAATCTATTAATTGGTTCAACTTAGTATCTTGTACTTGATTGTTTAACATATTTACTGATGTATTATGACATTGCTTAATATATGACTTATACATGTTTACCTCCAAATTTAGCTTATTTAATTTAAATAACTGAACATGAATGAACTTAATTCAGCATGAGAGCTTGTGAACACATAACTTAAACATAAGCACAAGGATCAATGCAAGTAACTAATATAAGTACTCAAATTGAATGATCTAATTAAAAACTTCGAAATAGCATCTTACCACTTATCTGATCAACTCTAGTCAGTTGGCAACTCAGTACTGATAGGTGCTCTAGACCTATAGGCGATTCGCTTTTGTGAATTTATGATCGAAATCGGATTAGATTGATTGAATTTTGGGGTTATGGCGACGAATTTCTTGATTTAGGATTGCAAAGTATAGAGGTTTTGCTGATGCAACATAAATTTTTATTATGATAATTTTCTGATTTCATGAACACAACATTTAACTATCTCTCTTTCAGAAAGAGATTACCCACTGTATTAAAACCTTTTGCTTAAAATGATCACATCATAAAATAGATAATTGTTTCATAGGTAGTTAGTAGTTACTAACCAGATTGATCACCCAATTCAATCAAAATTAACAGTGAATTATTTGTGAATTAGAAAGTTCTTTGAAGGGACATAATAGTTCATGGTTAATTTTGATTGTATCTATGTGCTATTACAATAGCAATATTATTATGACAATTCAAATCATTAACTAGCAGCCCCTCCAGCTTACTTCCAGTCATCTTCTTATATTAGAATATTTGGAAAACTAGGTGTTGGGGTATAGTTGCGGCCCAAGAGCCCAGGGCCGATAGCCCAAAAAGGAAGGCCCAACTCGTCAAAGAAAAGCCCAGAAGGGAAACCCACGCGCATAAAGGACAAGGCGCAGGGGGCAGAAGGGGTTTTCCAAGCAGGTGGGGCCGGAAGTCTGACACGAGGCGCATAAGACAAGAGACATTCAACGGTCGAAAGAGTGCGGAGACTGACCTGCTGATGTCATGCGCCTCAATCCTCTGAGCGGGGTGTCAGGTGGTCGAGGCGCATGATATGGGAGGAGTACGGCGCATTAATTGCCGAGCTGACGTAGGGCGGAAGTGGAGGATGTTGGTCGCCCCAACACATAGTATAAATAGTGAAGTTGGTGAACCTCATTTACTCAAGTCTGATCCTCTCACTAGAAATACTCTCTACTTCTCTCTCTAAAAACCTTGGTTCTAATTTGGGCGTCGGAGTGCTAACGAGCCCCAAAGGGGTTCGCGGTGCATCCGTGTGTGCAGGGGAGGCGCGTAGTAGAGCTCGTGAGCGGAGGGTGCTAGGCGCGTAAGGGAAGGCGCAAAGTACGTGGCACTAACACTAGGAATGCCTGGCTATTCAGGAAATGCACTCCATCAGACCATGAAACTTGCATCACAGCTGTTAGGGAATTCCCGGAGTGGAAAAATTGCCTGAGACGTTCCACTCCTATTCTGATAGCTCTGAGTCAACCCAGAGGGGGCCATCTATATTCTTGCCCACCGCCATGTTCCCCCTTGATGGAGATGCAATGCAACGGATCATTCCTACATGATTCCCATGAGGCGGCTTATGATATCGTCATCAGTAACTACCAATGACAGATTTGTGATGGACGGGCTGACTCTTTTCTTTGTTCGTCTCCGATTGAAGTTGAAGCAAATGCTATGTTAGAAGGACTGAATATTGGTCAAGAGTATAATGTGGCACGTGTGCTCTGGTCTGACTGTGAAGTTCTGGTGAAGGCTATTTCTCAGGGATCGAATTCTTGGCCATGGAGATGTGCCTCGATGATGGAAGCTATGCGGATAATCCTCGACTCAGCGCCTATATGATTGAGATTCGCAAGATCCCTCGTCGTTTGAACTTCAAAGCTGACTGGGTTGCTCAATCACAAGCTCGTCATTCTGTCCCAAGCGATTAGCTTACTATTCTTGTTTTAATTTCAGCCCATATCTGATAGCTGTTTCTTTGTATTTGATTTTCGAAGACGAATGAAATATCTTATTATTGTAAAAAATAACTAGCAGACCCAACAGTCTTTAGTAAGGCTGCCAATACCATCACCAAACTCGTCGCTATTGTGTTATCATTATGGCCCTTATTCTTAAGTGGTTAGCTTTTAGAGACGATAACAGAACCGTGGCAAATCCTATAAAATTCTCTGTACAACCGATAATACATGCGCACACGAATAAACTCATATAAACTTTGATTTAACGTAATGGATCGGGTTCTCTCACCTCTAATACGTGTTTTAGGACTGTATTTAAGAATTCTGGACGTATGAACTTCTTGGTTGATCTTTGTTCAAACTCGGAACATTGTCCTCGACACTACGACACAAGAACACGAGTTGGATTAGTTATAATTTAATTTGAGCTTAGAGATAGACCGGGGTTTAAGATTCTTACCTGTTTGAGCTGTGGAAGTGGCATGATAAATAAAGTTAAATTATTTCGAAATAGAGATTCTTACATAATGACAACATCATTGGATCTAAGATAATAAAATATAGTGTAAAGAAAGCAAAACCATAAGTAATTTCAGTAAATATCAATAGGTGCGAAATTCAGGGTACCGCATATCTTGAGTATGAAAACGTTAACTAGACCTCGAATTAGCAGGATTTTTGGGCATGATAGTATACCCTATTCCTTAATGAGTGAACCCGAGGTCCTAATTATCTAAATCATAAACTATAAACCCTAAGACAGTGCATTGATTTTTTTGCCTATATTTGGACGAATCATAACCGTCGATTATTGTTATAATTAAATTGATCTTGGAGTATAAGATTTAGAGAATTAAGACCTAGATTTTGATCTTTAAGGGTTAAAGTATAGTATCATGCCCGAAAGATCAGTCAATTCAAGTTATGAATAGCGTTTTCTTACTCAAGTTATGTGGTACCCCGAATTTCACCCTGGGTACCGTAGAACTCCCCCAATATTATATATAATTTAGATAAAATGGCCCAGTGTATAAGATGAGGCAAAACGAGTTAGGGTGAAAGGAGGATCCATGCTCGTTCTGCATCGTCCACGAGACGAGTACTCTATCAAGGGAACAGATCATGTCAGTAATCTTATGGTCAGTAACCATGAGTAACCCGTCCACATGAGCATAACATCAATATCTCTCTCGCTCCTGGAAAGTCTTTTATCTTTTCCCCTTTAATCTTTAACGAACGATTTCTCTCTCGTTTTAAGTCGAAATTTAAATTTTTTGCATAGATAAATCATATTAAATGTGCTTTTTAAAATGACATCCACTTTGATATATTTTTAATACAAAAAAAATTGAATAAATTTTTACCAGTCATTACCATATGGCATGCTCGTATTTAATACCATATGGTAAGAAAGCGTAACATGGTGGTATGAACATACCAATATGGTAAAAAAGTTGAATACATGATAGTAGGTGTATACTAACTGTCATTTACGACTTTCATCATTGTTTACCATAAGTTACCACAAGTTACCACCCACATACCATAGTGGTAAAGTATGGTAGTTTTTGGTCCAGTATTTTTTTTCACCCAGGAATTTATAGATCCAATAGATCGTGATGAACTCGTTCCTTCTGAGCAAACTTTTTCAATAATGACTTAAAAAAAGAAGTTACTATTGGTATGTAGTTGGTAAAAAAAAATTCTCGAAATATATTGAAAATTGATCTTATTTTGTAGAGCACAACGAACTCGTTCCATCTGTGCAAAAAAAAAAAATTTGAAATCCGAGTTAGAACGAAAAAAACAAGAGCCGATTAGAAAACTAGGGAAAATAAAATGTCTTTAATTGACAACCCTTAGATCTAGATTTTCTGAACCCACTTAGATCTAAAGGTCCAGATTTAGTTACTCATACGCAAGGTTGTCAAACTGGTTCATACCATTTTGCCGGTTTGGCAAGTGGAATGGTATGACCGGTGGTATAACCAGTTTGTGCCGGTTCATGCCGGTTTAAAAAAATGTAAAAACAATTAATATCCAATGTATTTAATCATATAGAAAACATATTTGCGAACAATTTAGTTACAATCCAACAAATATCATCAACTTTTAACTATTAAATTCATAAAATGAATAATAAATTAAATTTTTTATTAATTAACTTCATTAAAATTATGTCATTTTGTTTAGAATGCGTAAGTCGATCATACCGGTTTCATGACCGGTACAGGTTGAACCAGGTTGAACCGGGTGACATGCCACCGGCATAACAACCTAAGTCATACGTCAGTAACCAATGGTTACTAACCCTATCCTAAGCCCTCTATCAAACTAATTATACAGGTGGTACCAAGTCATTAAGTTTTTTTAACACGTCAAATTAATCAACAATGCATGTTAGTGTCATTTAATAATTAAGCAATCCATCCTAGAGTGGATAAAGCTGAACTGGGGGAGTTAGGTAAGTGAGTCCATTATTTTTATTTGTTTATAAATGGTCTGTATTATTCCCTAATTAGTTGACTGGTTAGGCAAACAAATTAGTAATTAATTCTATGCGTAATGGATGCTGTTGGACAAAAGATGTTGGCAAGTGGCTGTCCACGGAAACAAATTAACAATTGGAACTAAGTTGGTCGCTATAGCTAAACTAGTCTATCGGACTAATTAAAGTGAGACTTTCAACTTGAAAAATAACTATAGCCAGCTGGAGTTCAAGTATTAAGCTCTGCAGCTGGAATTATGTACTAATTTTTAAGTATTATTGGTTGCGACTAGGGAGTTGGCAATTATTCTATAGACGGGTTCCTATCTTAATAATTCATCATTAGCTAACTCCCCTTCCAACTTGTTTCCAACTTGGGTGGTAAATAGGTGATTTGGGTTTAATCATTTTAATCATTCAATTCAGTATTCTGATCTAAGATAAGCGAAATAAGCGAAATCCATGATTTTTATTTCTCCAAACATTAACCACAAATGCTCAAATGTACACACAACAAATATAAAAACCATTTCAACTCATCCATGGAACCTGACAAATATATATCAAGCGTCCCCAAAAGTTCTTATCGTACAAGCAAATCTTCTTTTTTTCCCTTCTCGATAGAGAAATTAAGTTGCCGGCCGGCGACTTCGAATCCTAATCAAGGACACTTGCGGCGGCCGCCGTGGGTGGTTATTGTGCCGTAGCAAGGACACTCGTCGTAGTTACCGGCGGTGCCGGTAGGGACGCAGCTGCAGCGGACACAGCAAGTCCCACAAGCCCTCTTGCACAGGTTTGGCCTACTTGATAATTGGCACCTAGCGTCGCAAGAGCTCCCGCAATCTGTTACACAAGAAAGAGATTTAAGAAAAAGGGTCGCGAAATGGTAACAAAAATTGTCACAAAAAAATGTTACAGTGACCGATTTGTGATTCCCCGCTGCCCTTTTTCGTTATAGTGAAAAACAAGTTAGGGTGACCAAAAATCTTGAAACGAATATAATTTTCACATCTATAAAAAGTGCAATACACCGGTTACTTTTAATATGCATTGAAAATTAATGAAATATAACTCACCGAGTTTTGGAGAGCTACCGGTGTAGCTCGTTAATCCGAAGGCCTTCTTGGATTGCTGATGATCATGATCATGAGCCTGGGCGAGCTGGAGGACGAGGAAGGAGACGAGGAAGGTAGTTACGAGAAGCCTTGAGATGGCCATTGTTTTTTGAGATAGGGATCTTGTTTGTTGTAGCTAGATCAAAGTGAGATGATCAGATGTGTAGAAGTGTGATCAGGAGGGGTATTTATAGTGACGAGTTTGAAACTGGATAATGCAAGTTGAGTTGAATATGAAGATGTTTCACAAATAAAAAATCAGTTAATTAATATAAAGGCAAGAGAGGTTGTATTATGTAGTAGCTGAATGGCTTCCAGTTATTTTTATAAAGTGATCATATGATTGCGGGAATAATTGAAAGTATACAATTAGTATATTTATTCAAAATTATGATGTTTGATTAATTTAATTAATACTGGATGAGGAAAAGGTAGTAAGAAAGAAAATTGTTAAAAGAGAAGACAGAAGAACGAAAGAACGAAAAGGAGAGAACATCATTAATCTCAGCCATTGCCAGCAAGTAATACTTGATTAGAGATTCGAAGGAAGCATCCTTTTGCAACACCGAAGGCCTTCCGAATTTTGATGATTGTCATCTTCAACTAAAAATTGGACCATTTTAGGGAATATGCTAATTGTATATGGGGAGTCTATCCTCGCCAACAGGGATTATGGACAAAATATTGAGGTTCAATGAATGATTGTGAAATCGTATTGTAGATTATTTTGGAAATATTAGTAGTAGAATATTTGTGTATTAAAATCGTAATTTAATCGTGGTTCAACCATTTTCTACTGTTAAAATTTAATCGTGGTTCAACCATTTTCTACTGTTAAAATTTTTCAATTAATTTGGGTTCGATATCCGCTATTTTTAGTCCAACTGACCGGTACGTAGGATTTCTTAATAAACATTGATTTTTATTAATGGTTGTTAACCCAATGATAAAATACGAAAATGTGGGGAACATTATTAGTTTTTGTTTCACACCAAAAGATATGGTACAAAACACAGAACTGTGGAACTTACGAAATCATGTCACAATTCATGTCACTATGATACAATCATACAATAATATGAGGAGGTGGTTTTTTTAATGAATGCATGCCCAATTTTATTCATCAAAATAGTGGAGGGTCCATCAGAGGTGGACTAACTCCGAGATTACATCAAAGTAAATAAAAGAGACAAAGAGAACACAGTGAGTCTTGGATCGAAAATGAAAACAAAAGTGGCAGTGAACTGTTTGATCAAGGTGGTTGAAGGTCAAAGTCCTCGTATTACTAGAAAATAAGGATAAGTGAGTTGCCGAATCATCACCGGAGAGACTTTTCTGACTTGCCCAAAGACAAATAATTGTATTGATTTCGTTGATGATTCTCGTAGTTGAAGCTTGATTATCCTCAAAGATTCATGAATTCCTTTCAATTCAAAGGTTCCAAAAGATAAAACGCGGATTTTGTAACTCCTTAAATTTGTATCGTAATCCAAAACTTTGTCAGAGGCTGCCTTACAAGGACAAATGAACTTGAAATTGGAATAATGTAATGTGGTACATGAAGGTCACTATTAGTTGAGTGTTTAATTAGGGAAAGTAATGCATAATGTACTCTTGGCAATGGGAACAAGTTGGTCGCTATAGATAGGATCGATGAAAGCGAGAGCTTCAACTTGGAAAACAATGCAGCTCTCACAATTGGCTTCTTGCGAGTGGATTTAGCCAGCTGGAGATGAAGTCGATCGTTAATTTATTATATGCTTGCTTAATTTTAAACAATATCAGGACGAAGAAAAGCAGTAACTAAGAAAATTGTTGAAATAAGAGAATACATAAGGAAAAAGAGAAAAGAGAGAACAGTTCTTAATCTGACCCACTGCCAACAAGTGTATACTCTATTAGAGATTTGCTGGAGGCATCTTTTTGATGCACCAGTCGACTTCTAATCATTGATAATGACTGTGAATAAGAGTTTGGTCTAGTAATACATTAATATTATTGGTATTAATTTTGAATCTGGAGGTTTTAAATTTGAATCCTACAAACTAAGTAGTAGTGTATAATGAAAACAAACTTATATCACCATTATTTAAAAAAAATGTCCATCTTCAACTAATGTTTGGATAATTTTTGTGAAATATTTTTAGTGTAGGGCTACATGGGGCTATGTGCTCGTCTTTGCTGCTTTTATCAGGGATGGACGTGGACCTATATTAAGGGAAGCATATGAAGCGACACATCTTCGCTTAAGATTTTGGTGAAATATTTATGTTTGGTCATTATAAAAATTTGAAATTAGGATCTCTGACATACATCTGATTTTTTTTAATTGACACATTTGTTGTAATTGCAAGCAGTTAAATAGAATTTTTTTTATTATGAACTTGATAATAAATTATATTCAAAATCATATTAATGGCGTTTTCTCAACGATTGTTGCATTATATGGATTGAAAAATATTTTATTTACAAAATAAACGATTAATGTATTTAATAAATCTATCACAACATACAAATTTTTGCTCGCTGTACAAATAATAAAATTGTGTACTCTATGAATTAAATATTTATTTATTTACTATTTTACTTTTATAGTACCTCTTAAAAATACCGAGACCGCCTAGTTAAATAGGTTTCGAAAGGTATTCATGGTAGGGGTGGCTATACGGTCCGGTACGGTTAAATTGGCTCGAATTGATCCGTCCTAGTTCTGTCTTTTCGGGAATATAAGGACCAAAGATTGGATTGGATACAGTCTGGTCTTGATCCGGTCCGGCCTTGAACCAGTCTGGTCCCAATTTGGTCTTGATTTTAGATTGAACTTGTGGGGATTTGAGTGGAGTTGGGATCTCTTATCCGGTCTTTCCCGGTTTTCGATCCAGTCCCAAACGATTTTTAATCTCAAATCTAAGCCCGAATATGAGATTAGATTGTTTGCTATGCGGTCCCAGTCCAGTCCCGGTCCAGGTTATACGGTCCGATTTTGGGTAAAACCAAACAGTCCGGACCAAATAGCCTGCCCTAATTCATGGGCTTTGGGATTTGTTGTTTTTGGTAGATTTCGAGTGTGTTAGATGAACGCCTAAACTTTTTACAAGTTAAATGACTGCAAATTTGGCAAAACTAATTTGGTTAATGTCTGCAAACCGTCACCTGCCACTGCCAGAGACATAAATGAACTTGGACATGAAATTAAAATTGGAAATATTAGGGTATGCCTATAGTGACATGCATGTCACTATAACTTGTACTTTTAGTTCGATCTCATATAGGATTAGTTCGACCTAATTTGCACTTTTAGGTCGACCTAATATACCGTTTCAGTTTTGTGAGATGCATGTGTGAGGTCGACCTAAAAGTGCAAGTTACGGTGACATGCATGTCACCGTAGCAAAGTCCGAAATTATTAATGATTTTAGAGATGAACTCCTTTCTTTTTTGGGTTAGTTGTAAAATTATCTCATTATCCATAAAAAAAATTATGAACTAAGAAAATAAAATTTAGAGATGAACTTGAAATTAAAAAAGTGATATTTATCACATACAAATCTTGAACCGAGTTAATAGGAAAATCCATAGAGAACTAAGGTGAACTCATCCATTTCACTAATTTAACATTTGATTTTGAGTTAGGTGAACACGAAATCAGCAAAATGTGTTTTGTTCATGTATGTAAAACACTCATAGGACAAGATTAATGTGTCCATGAGGTATCTAATTTGTGGTGTTCACATTGTGCATGAGAAATCATTTTATGCCTTATGCCTATATGAACTCGAAAAAATGATAATTTGGCACATACAGGTTTCCATGGTGAACTTCAACTAAAGTTCGGATCTTAAAAAAAAAAAAAAATCGGATCATTTTTTGTGGAACAAGTAACAAAACAAGCTAAGTACATGTATGTAAAAGACCACCGGGACAAATTTAATGTGGTCATTGACGTCTCTAATTTGCAATGTTTATATTGTGTATGAGAAACCATCTTATACCTATATAAACTATAAAAAAATATAATTTGGCCCATACAGGTCTCGAACCTGTGACCTTCGCGTGCTAATTGTTTATGAGAAACCATCTTATACCTGCGATGTTTATATTGTGTACGAGAAACCATCTTATACCTATATAAACTATAAAAAAATATATAATTTGGCCCATACAGGTCTCGAACCTGTGACCTTCGCGTGCTAATTGTTTATGAGAAACCATCTTATACCTATATAAACTGTAAAAAAATATAATTTGGCCCATACAGGTCTCGAACCTGTGACCTTCGCGTTATTAGCACGACGCTCTAACCAACTGAGCTAATAGGCCAATTGATAAAAAAATTACGTGAATCCAAATTTCATATATTTCGCTAAATACTTGATAGATAGTTAATTAGTTGTACACAAAATCTACAAAACGAGTTCGACTCATTTATACAAAAGACCATCTTATACCTATATGAACTAAAAAAAGATAATTCGGCCCATTATTTATGAGAAACCATCTTATACCTATATAAACTATAAAAAAAATTATATAATATGGCCCATACAGGTCTCGAACCTGTGGCCTTCGTGTTATTAGCATGACGCTCTAACAATTGAGCTAATAGGCCAATTGACAAAAATATAAAATAGATGAATCCAAATTTCATACATTTTGCTAAATACTTGATAGGGAGTTAGTTAGTTGTACACAAAATCTACAAAACAAATTCCACTCATTTATACAAAAGACCATCTTATACCTATATGAAGTAAAAAAAAATAAAAAGATAATTTGGCCCAACCTATATGAACGGAAAAAAATAATTTGGCCCATACAGGTCTCGAGCCTATGACGTTTGCGTTATTAGCACAACGCTCTAACCAACTGAGCTAATAGGCCAATTAATAAAAAATTCAGGTGAACCCAAATTTCATCCATTTCGCTAAATACTTGACAGGGAGTTCGTTAGTTGTACACAAAATCAACAAAACGAGTTAGACTCATCTATATATAAAAGACCACTAGAACAAATTTAATGTGGCATATAATGTCTCTAATTTGAAACATTTGCATTCTCTATGAGAAACCATTTTATACCTATACTAATTATAAAAATGATAATTTGTCTTATGTATAAAAACCCCTGCTGAAATAGAGATATAGATCAGCAGCTACTGCAAGCTTTTTATTGATCAGTACTACATCCATTTTACATTTACCAAATGGAAAACAAACATACATCATCAATATTATTAATTATCGCACGTTCAAACTACTTAAACGCAATCGTGAATTAATTAAATTACAATTAGGGGCACTTGTGACGGCCGCCATGGGTGGTCAAGGTGGCATAGCAAGGGCACTGGTCGTAGTTGCCGGCGGTTCCGGTAGGGACGCAGCTGCATCGCCGGCAACATGTCCCGCAAGCCCTGTGGCATAGGTTCGGCCTGCTTGATAACTGGCACCTAACTTTACAAGCTTCTCCACAATCTGATCAAAACCATCATACGGATAAATTATAAATATCATACTTAGGAATATACTTCAAATTTAACATGAATTGTTATGCTAAAATTTCAATTACAAGAAAAAGAAGAAGAAAAAAAGATTTTTGCAATTATGTGATCCAATGTCGTGAATTTCAATTTACGTACCGATTGATTGAGTGGAGTAATTAGCAGCGTGAGCGAACTGAAGGAAGAGAAGGGAGAGGAGAAGGGTAGCCACTACAAGCTTGGAGAGGGCCATTTTTTTGTGGAGGGTCTTTGAGAGGGTTTATAGTTTTTTGTAGTTTGAGAGATAACGGGAACTTGGAATGAGTGATGAGAAGTTGGAGGGTAGGCATTTATAGTGACAAATGTTCAAAGTTATAGTGGGGAAAAAATCTAAAGAAATTAGTAAAGGGATTTCAAAAAATTTATGTTGCCTTGTATGCAATTTTCTATTTTTATTATTAAAATTTCAACTTTCTCTCACCTCAGATCTTCCTTGTCTTAAAAAAAAGGCATCCAATTTTTCATATAATTTACTTCCACAAAAGAATTATCAAATGAAAATATAAAATTATTTTTATAGGAGATGTGAGACCCTTCAAATCTAATACATATTTGAAACTACCTTTGCAAGCATGTAATTGATCTTGGTAAAATTATGGAAATTAGAGTATAACACAACAATCAAGAAATATTTCTAAGAGAATGGTATAAGATTCATAATAATCTTTTCCCCAACAAGTCGATTTATTGGGACCTGACATGTCTAATCTACATCTTCACATACTCTATGGGAAAATATATATTTTATACCTTGACGAACTTCAAATAAAAAACAGTACTTTGGCACATACAGATACAGGTCTCGAACCTACTACCTTCACATTATTAGCACGATGCTCTAACCAACTTGGCTAATAGGTCATTTCACTAAACACTTTATAGGGAGTTAGCTAAACCCAAAATCGACAAAACGAGTTCATGTAATCTCTTATTCAACCAATAATCGAACAAAAAATAATTAGTGTAGTTCGGGTAATGTCTGCAAGAAATCACTAGAAAAATTAATGTGATTCATGACATCTCTAATCTACATCTTCACATTGTCTATGGGAAAATGTATATTTTATGCCTTGACGAATTTGAAATGAAAAATAATACTTAATTATGCACGTACAGGTCTCAAACCTATGACCTTCACATTACTAACACGGCACTCTAACCAACTTGGATAATAGGTCATTTCACTAAATACTTCATAGGGAGTTAGGTAAACCCAAACAGACAAAAACGAGTTCGAGTAATGTCTTATTCTACCAATAGTCGAATAAAAAATAATTGGTGTAGTTCGGGTAATGTCTGCAAAAGATCACTAGAAAAATTAATGTGATCCATGACATCTTTAATCTACATCTTCACATTGTCAATGGGAAAATATATATTTTATTCCTTGACCAACTCGAAATTAAAAATAATATTTGGCCCATACAGGTCTCGAACCTGTGACCTTCGCGTTATTAGCACGACTCTCTAACCAACTGAGCTAATAGGCCATTTGATAAAAGAGTTTAGGTGAACTCAAAATTGATTTACTTCACTGTACAATTTTTAGGAGTTCAGTAGCCATAGTATCAATCAAAATGAACTTGGTCCATGTCGAGAGGCCATTTTCTACAAACTTCTATTTGGGTTAATCTACCAAATAGTCGAATAAAAAATATTTGGTGTAGTTAAATGAAAGATTCCATTAGATTATTCATAAATTTTTAATGCCCAACTTTCAGGGGTGGCTGAAGTGATAAGCATGAGCATAAGATTAGACCTGTCAAATTACAACCCGACCCGAAATCGCCCGAAAATTAGAAATTTTTGTAACCCAAAATTCGAATGACCCGAACCGATAACCTGTGATTTTTTAGGTCGGGTTGGGTGGGTTAGCGGGTCGACCCGTTAGACCCATTCCAGTTAATATATTACTCCCAAAATATGATAAAATCACTCATAAATTGGTGAGATGTTTAAAAAAAATCACAGGATTTGAATGACATGTTTGGAGTTTAAGGATAATCAAATATCATGTGTTTCTTGTAGTAGAATTACTCTTGTGATTGTTTTTTGATGATTTGCGCAATTTATATTTCATTTCATTAGCATGGAAGGATTTGAGAATATGTTAATTGACATGTGTTATGTAAACTATTGTCATGCATATAAGAAAATTTGTGTTCTTTAAGAAAATATGAAGCATGTTTGATATTGTTTATGAGAGCGCTCATAACCCGAAATGACATGTAACCCGACCCGAAACCGAATGGGTTGGATCAATATTTAACCCGAAATAAGTCAACCAAACATGACCCGACCCATAACCGAAGTTCCCAATCCAAAATTACCCAACCCGACCCGATTGCCAGGTCTACATAAAATGGTGTGTACTTCCATTTGATTCTTACATTCTATTATTTTTAGAAAACTTTAAATTGCTAGTGCCAATAACATGATTGTCCTCCATAGTCCATATGCATATATTTTTCACTTTCACAAATTTACTCAACATTCCTAAAAATCGATGTGGAATTCGGATCATAAAAGCTCTTATAACTCTACAATCAAAATAAATATTGGTTAAGTTGTAAATTAACGTAAAATCACGAGTTCTTTCAATTGGTGAAATAGAGCTAAACATAACCTTTCTAAACTTTTTGGCTAAGAACAAGTGTAGTAAACATGATATATATCATCATTAATCCCTCAACATCCATTGTAACATGACACAGTGACATATATTTCCACACACACAAAAAAAAAGGAAGAAAATTAAAACAAAACCTTTGCTGACGTAGATATACACCAGCAAACAGCAACCACTACAAGGGGCAAGCTCCTTTTATTGCTTTGACCACATCCGTTTTATTATTTACCAAATGGAGAACAAATATTCATCGTCATCCTCGTACCGTCGTACGTTCAAACTAGTTCCGTTTTGACTCGTGAAAGGCACGTCACTGAAGCAAATTAAACTTTATCATTAAAAGCAATGATATCTCGACTTATGGGCACTTGCGGCGGCCGCCGTGGGTGGTCAAGGTGGCATAGCACTGGCACTTGTCGTAGTTGCCGGCGGTTCCCGGCGGAACGCAGCTGCATCGCCGGCAACATGTCCCACAAGCCCTGTGGCATAGGTTTGGCCTGCTCGATAACTGGCACCTAGCTTTGCAAGCACTCCCACAATCTGAAAAATTGGTTTTCGATAACAGAAAATTTGTAAGAGAAACTTTTAACAACCATTCCATTACTTTCGATGACCATTATTTTTGGTTGCAATTTTTTTTTTTTAATGAGATTACGTACCGATTGATTGAGGGGAGTAATCAGCTTGGGCGAGCTGAAGGACAAAGAGGGAGAGGAGCAGGGAAGCCATTACAAGCTTGGAGAGCGCCATTGTATGAGAGGAAGAGAGCTTATTGGGTACAATGAGAAGTAATTTGAGGGAGATGGGTATTTATAGTGACGAATATTATTGAGCGTTTGGTGTAGTTGGAGTAGTCGTGTTTTGCTTGAGAGGGATTAAATTGTTACGCGTAAACTAAAGGGTGGCAAAAAGAGAGGGTATGATGATGAGGAGAGGGGAATATCTATCTGGTGGAGGATGGGAAAGTGGCATTTTCTTGGAGTTTTGGGGATGCAGTGGAACTGTCTGGAAAAGAAGACTAAAGAGTAGGTTTTGGGGTACCCACCCCTAAGAATTCTCTTTATTATGTGTTTAACATTAATATCTTACATAGGGTAAGATAGTTTATTAGTTTTAATTAAGTTGGTACACATATATATTATATTATCCATGTAAACAACCAACTTAATGACTACTTCGGTGCACTCACAAAAATGAGTGTGTTCAATGCACCCAACTCAAAAACTAGTATTAAAGTGTCGAATTTTGAATTTTAATTTGTAGAATTAGTGTAATATGATGATATAACATATGATAACAACTAATTAGCTGATTACCCTGAGCCCTAGACCTCCAAATTTGATTTCTATCCCTAAACCCTAAATCATAAACCCTAACCCTAAATCTCTAAACTATAAATCCTTCAAATTAACGTAAATCTTTAATAGTTTTTGTGCAAATTCATGTGCGTTATTGTTCATCACATCATAAGTGATGATTGACATCATTTTGACATAAATCGCATGTTTAAATGACGGTTATGAAGTGAGTGCACTGAATGCACCCAAAAAAGTGAGTGCACCGAAGACGCCACCATCTTTTGATATCATTATATTAAAAAAATATTGCATAATTCGAGTGGTTGAAAAATGAAATTTCAAAATAAATTTATTTCCCCATATTAAATTCAAATCGGTTTCTTATAAGGGTGATGCAGGTTTGGTTTTTAGTTATGTGTTACTTAAGGGATTCGAATCCGAGGCCTCCAGGTTCAAGACTAGTGGTATTACCACTAGATCAAGTCATTCTTCGCTAAATGGTTTCTTTTTATGCCCGTCTGTGTTTAGCCACTTAATTGTTTAAGCGATTCAAATCTGAGATCTCCAAATTCAAAAGCAGAGGTAAGTGTTCGAAGACTCGTTGATCTTTCTCTTCTCTATTTCTTAGAACACTGAATTATTCACATCTTTTTGTAGAAGCCAAAGAAAACGTGTATGGTAGACAAATACCATACACTGCTTGAAAGTGAATCCCTCATGTAGGCCTTAGATTATTAGAGGATTGGAGGAAGAGAAAGAGATGAGAAATCGACTACGCAAGGGCATCAAATAGGAAAATGAAAAAAAAAATATAGACAAATAGTTACAAAATAAAAATTCTTTATCAAGCAATGATACAACCCATTTCTTAAATTGATCAGTGTGATGATGTTACCTATAAAATAAAATATGAAGAGAACCTAATAATTAAGGGAGTCCCAAAAAACAGTATAAAATGGATTAGGCGGCGTGCTTTCCAGTAAGAAAAAAAAAACATGGAATTAGGCCTTTGCTTCGAGAGACAGCACGAGGCGAACTTCGACGCTTCGAAGCTTGCAGTGTCGATCAGTCAACCCCATGCAGTTCTATTATTTGCCAATAGCCAGCTCATAGTTTGGCTGTATGCATTGCGTATTTTATTAGTACAAATTATTAGTTAGTGATATAATTAGGACCACTTTGACCTTATTGGAACCATCCTTGTCTTGGTTGAGTATCGGATTATGTATGGGATGGACTGATGTTCAAGGTTGTCGAACCGGTTTACACCGTTGTGCCGGTTTGATAAGTGGAATGGTACGACCGGTGGTATAATCAGTTTGTGTCGATGCATGTCGGTTTTATAAAATGTGAAAACAATTAATATCCAATGTATTTAATCATATATAAAACATATTTGTGGAAAATTTAGTTACAATCCAACAAATATCATCAACTTTTTACTATTAAATTCATAAAATGGAAAATAAATTAATTTTTTTTATTAATTAAATTCATTAAATTGATGTCATTTTGCTTAGAATGCGCAAGTCGATCATATCGGTCGCATCAGTAATGTCATACCGGTTTCATGACATGCACAAATGGAACCAGGTTCAACCGGGTGGCATACCACTGGCATGACAACCATGCTGATGACTGATGATGACTTCCGCCAGCTGGGGGAGAATAAGAAGTTGCTAGCAAAGTGGTGTTATACAGCTGGACGAATTAAAACAAAGCAAAAGGCCAAAAGCTTGAAAGAGGCCGCCGGTGAGAATGGCAAAGGCAATAGTATTGACTATAGGGATAATAATGGGTCGAGTTGAGTCAGATTTCTCAAAACAAAAATTTATTTGGGCAAATACAATATATTAGCCATAACTATTAAGCAGTTGGGAATTATAGCCACAATTATCGAAATACAAATTATTAGCCAATCGTTAAGTTTTCGTTAACACTTCTGTTAGTAATGATGACTAAGCTTTTATGATGGTGAGCTGGCTCCCACGTGGCAGTCATCATATCATATTTTTTACGATGCTGACATGGCCTTCTACGTTAAAAATTTGAAAACAGTAACGGGCTGTTAGCCAAATCTTGACCCACAATAATAGTTATGACTAATAATTTGTATTTCGATAGTTGTGGCTATAATTTCCCGCTACTTAATAGTTATGGATAATATATTGTATTTACCCAATTTATTTTAGTGGATGTACTCATTGAAAAGTTGGATAAAATATTCATTAAGTTTTGGAAGAGCAAACCTTATCTAACGGGTTTCCGCGAATGCATGGACATCCATGAGTTCACTAACATAATACTACAAATATTATATAAGGACTAATAACATCCATGATTTCACTAACATAATGCTACAAATATATTTATATAAGGACTAATAACATCCATAAATTACATATATATTTATGTTTATACCGAGGCTAAAACTAATAGCATTCATCAATTGTCCATATTGTTCATGTTAGATACAAAATGACATCATTTTGCTTTTCGGGTGTGGGTCGGATGAAAAGCAGGGTTGGGGCTTGGACTTTTGGCAAAATCCACCACAACGATGTAAAAAGCGGGTAAAACCCGCAACCAACATAAAACCCGTCGGCACTGGGTTTTACCCGCTTTGACCACTTCGGGTCGGATATCCATAGGTTCGGATTCAATTGTCACACCCCTAATTTGAGATTTTGTGGCTAATTGCGAGACCTCGGCATATATATCCAATTCGAATAACACATGAAGAACCAAACAGGAAAAGGCGAAAATGCTATACAGATCACAGCAACGCTACAAAGTTAAAACCATCAAATTCTACTGAATTTCAATTTACAAAATCAATAAATGAGTCGTCTTCGAAAGATCAGCCATACAAGTATCGAACATTTTATACCTATACAAAATTGAAAAATATATTTTTTGGCCCATACAGGTCTCGAACCTGTGACCTTCGCGTGCGAACATTTTATACCTATACAAAATTGAAAAATATATTTTTTGGCCCATACAGGTCTCGAACCTGTGACCTTCGCGTTATTAGCACGACGCTCTAACCAACTGAGCTAATAGGCCAATTGACAAAAATATAAGGAGAACTAAATATTAATGTAGTTCAAAAAACATTTTGTAGGGAATTTATTGAAGATGGTAGCAACTAGCAACACGAATTCGGACCATGTCTGCCAGATACCATATTCTATATACTTTTGTTCTGATTAATCTACCAATAGTCGAATAAATATAATTTGTGCACTTAAATGAATAACCACATTAACTTTACTCATATTTTTTTACTGGTTAATTTTTCAATACTAAAGTAATAAGATATTGGCATAACACCGTGTGTTCTTCCATTCATTCTTACTTTCTAGGACGTCGAGAAAACTTTAATTTGCTAGTAGCCATTGACGGGATAAATATTGTACATATGCATGCATAACTAACAGTCTAGTTTCATCAATTCACTCAATATCCATAGAAATCGATCAAACTCATAATCATGTGGGATTCCAATCATAAAGAAGTCAATAATTACAAGAAATCGTTCTAACTCTACAATAAATATCTAAGAATTAAATTCATGTTTTTACGACCAGGGGCAGACCCATGTGTTAGGGAGGTGTGTCAAGCGACATATCTCCATCCGAATATTTTGTGAGAGACCCATGTTTTGTCGGTACAATTTTTTGGAATTTAGAATTTCCAACACACCTTCAATAATTATAATAGACACAACTTCAATACACTACGATGAAATTGATGTCATAAAATTTCCAAAGTACGTAAATATATATTATTTATTTTAAATTTTAGTTAACTTATGACAAATTTAGGGTTCTTTCCATTATTTAAGCACTTAGACGCAATGGTTTATTGCTCTTAGGTCTTAGGCATGGGTAACCGTAATGAAGTTTTCTCCTTTTTCTCTCAACTGAATAAGTTTCGTTTCTTCTTGATCCTTGTAGCTTTCACATAGTTGTCTACCTAGTGACAAAAAATGCTCTTTCATCGAGAGTCCGATTGCATATAGACAACCGCTCTTTATTATTGTCTATCTTATAAAAAAACCCTAGCGTTCCTTTTACCTCTTTCGATCCCACTTCTCGTTGTGTTTCACAATAAAATATATTATTATTTTATTTCATTTTGTCGGCCGACACACATGTACGAGAATCCTGGTTCCGCCACTGTTTAGGATTGACGAAGTAGTAATACATGACACAGTGATGCGTATATTTTCATTAATCCTCCAACATCCATTGCAACAAGACACAGTTACACATATAATTTCACAAAAAAAAAACAAAAAAAAATAAAGCCCCTGCTGACGTAGATATATATCAGCAACTACTACAAACATTTTCTTTATTGCTTTGACCACACCCGTTTTATTATTTACCAAATGGAGAACAAACATTCATCATCATCCTCGTACGTTCATACTAGTTCCGTTTTCGACTTACGGGCACTTGCGGCGGCCGCCGTGGGTGGTCAAGGTGGCATAGCACTGGCACTTGTCGTAGTTGCCGGCGGTTCCCGGCGGAACGCAGCTGCATCGCCGGCAACATGTCCCACAAGCCCTGTGGCATAGGTTTGGCCTGCTCGATAGCTGGCACCTAGCTTTGCAAGCACTCCCACAATCTGAAAACCACCATAAACATCACTTGGTTATGATGAGTTTCGAATTTCGACATAGAATTTTATATCCTGAAATTTGAACTAGAATAAAAACTTTTTTTTATGTTTGTTTTTTCTTCGATCAACTCGTCATCGACAACTGAAAAATCGTAGTTGGAAAACTACTAATACTCGTCATATTACTTTTGGTGATCATTTTCTTGATTGCAATTAATATAGTCAAAAGTGTGATTCTACGTAGCAGTGTTTTTTTTTTTAGTATCGATCAGATTACGTACCGAGTGATTTCGGGGAGTAATCAGCGTGGGCGAGCTGAAGGACGAGGAGGAGGGAGAGGAGAAGGGAAGCCATCACGAGCTTGGAGAGCGCCATGGCGGTGGAGGGAGATCAGATAAGAGGGAATTGAGGGCGTATAGGGTGATGAGAAGTAATTGGAGGGAGAAGGGTATTATTTATAGTGACGAACATTGAGCGTTTGGTATAGTTGTGTTTTGCTTGAGAGGGAATTATTGGTACGCGTAAACTAAAGATGGCAAAAAGAAGAGGACTGAGGAGAAGGGAATATGATATCTGGTGGAGGATGGGAAAGTGGGGATTTCCTTGGAGTTTTGGGCAGTGGAACTGTCTGGAAAAGAGATTAAGGAGTAGGTTTTGGGTACCCACCCCTAAGAATTTCCTTTATTATGTGTTTAATAATATTTTATATCGCATAAGATAGTTTATGATTTTTAATCAAGTTGGTATAGATATATTATGCATGTAAACAATAATAATGTAATAAATTATGATTTTATACATATAAAATATTTCGGTGTATTAGATCAACAAATAATTTCTTATAATCCGAGTGGTTGGGAAAAGAAAAAGTGTATTTTATTCCTTCATATTAAACTACAGTACAAACCTCACAAATTGATATAGTCGGGGTCGTAGAAAATTATTAATCAATTATAGTTATTATAATAATATATTAATTTAAAGAGTTTTTTTAATAATATATGTTTAAAATGAATTAAAATTATATTCATTAAATGGTGTGTTAATTTTATTTAGGTACAAATTCAATTTATTATATTTTAGTAAATTTAATTTTTAAGGTTCATTTTTCTTATCTTAATAGTCCAAATTCATACATATTTACTTTGAGTATGCCATAAATATTCATCGTATCTTTAAAATATTTCAAGTTCATATGCTAATGTATCGGATCGTATGTGTTCATTATATAAAAATTTAATCGATGAAAATTATGTATTCATGTATACTTATGTTTAGGTGTCGAAGATAAATATTGAATATGAACTTCTACTAGACTTGAACTTCAAGAAGAAACAATCAATTTTAGATTCATATTTTTCTAGATGAGTCGTATTTTTCTAATTTTATTATTTATGAATTTATTTACATTGGCTCTAATCGAGACCGGAGAAATTATTCCATGAAGAGATTTTTTTTTTTAATGTATTGATATCTCATTTTAATATTTTATTCATAGAAAAGAGATAATCCATCAGTTATGGATTGACAAAAAGAGTAAAGAAAAGATCGATTGAAATTATTTATCAAACAATAATACAAGTATTAAAACCATTTTTTTTTTTTTTGCTCCTCTGTGTTTGTTGAGGCTGCCGACTGTACAGCTATATTTTTTTTCTCTCTCTCTCTCTCTGTAATTAGTGGCTGATAATACGAGACCGACTTCGAAGTTTAGTCGACTGCACTGATCAGTCAACCCCATACATACACTATTTGCCACCACATAGTTTGGCTGCGCATGCATGGAATCATAAATATTTAGTTAGTGATATGTTTTAGTAACCACTTTCACCTTACTGGAACCATCCTTATCTTGGTTTTAATATCAGCCGAATGCTGACTCAATGGTCAAACACAGCCTTAAATCCCAACCAACACCCGACAAGTACAATATTTAACTGTTCACAGCTCGCATAATTCATGCATGTGAATTGTAATATACTTTTTAATTTTTGTGGAACATAATCAAAGAACAAATCGCATTCTACTGCTTTTTTTCTTCTAGGAGAACAAATTTAGTTTAGGAGAAAATTAAAATAAATTCTTACCAATCTTCTTCAAGTTTCGTTACGATAAATGATGATTTAACTAGCATAGATAACTTAATTTGCATATCTCATAAGCGCTATTTTAACTTCTATAACGACAATTATGGGTGTGCAACGGTTTGGTCTGTATTGGACGGCACCAGACCAAACCGACGCTCGGATCAGATCATAGCAAACAGTGGCGGAGCCAGAAATCTGAACGAGAGGGGGACTATAATTTGCGTTCAAGATGTTTGAGCCGGAGAGGGCGGGGCTAAAGCCTTAAAACCTAATCTACATTCCAAGTTTGTTACAAAATTTACACGTAGATTTACACGATTTTGAGAGTTGAAGGGGGGTGTTATAGCCCCTTCTGGCTATAAGGTGGCTCCGCCACTGATAGCAAATCGAATAAAAAATGTAGTTGAGTACGTGATCCCATGAATTTTATAAATGCTGAAAAATGGACCAAAATGACATTTGGACTAGGACAAACTAGATCAAATGCAGCATTGATCCGATTCTTGATCCTAAAATATCTTTTGTTATTGGATCATATGATTGTCAGATCGAACCATTGCACACTCCTATACGATCTGACTGTAACTCGTAGACTATTGTACAGAATTTGATCACAAAATGGTCATATCGACAAGAAGAAAGAGTTTGAGTTTTTCACACAATCTCTTTTGGATACATATAAGGAGGGGCTGTCATAGGCGTTGTGGATCGGTTATTATTACAAAAATTCATGTATGGAACGGATGGAGCGTGATGAGTGATCGACGACTTTCGCCAGCTGGGGGATCAGAATAAGAAGTTGCGAGCTAGCTACATGTACAGCTGGACGAATGAATTAAGTTCATGATCATTTTTTTTATAAGGGTGAAAATTGCATAAATGGTAAGCCAAAAGGTAACCAGTCCGAAATACAAAGGTGAAAGGAATAGGAAAGGGAGCGGCACCAGAGGTGCAGCAACCCAAAAAACGAACGCAAAGGAAAACAAAGGAAGATCAAAAGAACAACAGAACAAGAAAACCACTGGGCCTCCCGAACTACGGCCAAGCAATCGGTCAGAACCTAACCAGAAACACCCCCATCAAACCAGGACCAGCACAAATCGAAGGGGAAGCAGAAGCCAGGGCGCGAACAACAACCAGTCCGCAACAAACGTCCCGAAACAGAGCTCGCACACCAGAAGCAACCTCCCACCCAACAACAAAAAAGACAGCAAGCAATCCTCCCCTGCAAACAGCAGCACGTCACAGGGCACACAACAACCACCCCAGGGTCAATAAGGCCTAGAAAGGCGAGACCACTCTGCCGCCTGAATCCTGCTGATCTTGCCTTTATCCACTAACCAGTCCATCGTGGACCTGATTGCAATCCAAGAGACCTCCTTGGCGGTTCTGCTAGCATCTTGGAACACGCGCTTGTTCCTCTCGAGCCATATTTGCCAACTCACAGCGTGGAGAATGCAGAACTCGACCCAGTCCTTCGGGTTATCCGGAGTGTCGGTCTTCCAACTTTGGATGGTATCAATGATTCGCTATTTGTGAGCAGCAGAACCCCCGCACTTTCTCCGAACTTCATTCCAAACTTCCAACCCAAACTCACAACGTGAGAATAAATGATCAACCGACTCTTCTTCCCTACAACACATACAACATCGGTTAGCAATGTGGCAGCCCCTCTTTTGGATATTGTCCAGCGTCAAAATCCGCTTATGCGCGACCAGCCACATGAAAGCGTTGATCTTTGAAGGGACGCACTTTCTCCAAACGGATTTGCAAGGGAAGTTAGGCACCCCTGGGAACCGCCCATCCGTCAGAATCCTGTACATGGAACGCACTGAAAAACTCGAATCGGGGTCAGAACACCACACCAATCTGCTTGGGCCACACGTAACCCTGGGCCACCAGCAGCTGATCCAGGATATGGTAGAGCACTGGGCCACATTTAAAAAGAGACAAAGAGGATTGGGCCGTAACCCGACGAGAACATAAACATATACCTAAAATCGAAAATTTACAAGGACCATACTAGCTCCGAATTCAGGGGAGGGCTGGGCCGTGGCCCGGGGACGGCCCCCCTAGATCCGCCGTTGTATGACACTCTCTTAAGCAAAACCACAAATGCAAAAGTCTGAAACGGTTGTTTTTTTTTTTTTTTGTCATAGATATCCCACGATTGTTATCTCTTCGTATATTAGTTATCTTTATAATGAATAAGTTGATTTTGTTTCATCAAATAAAATCAATATTTACAATATGTACATTATCCACCCTCTATACACTTTCACTTACGGTATATATATATTTTTTTTTATGGTTCACTTACGGTATATTATCAAGCACTAAAAACACAGAGTTCTTCTGATTTACTTTCCCATTTTCTGATCCCTTGTTATCTATATTACATTTACTGAGTACCATACTGGGTGTCCACTAAAAATCGTCCAAAATTAATGTCAGTTATACTTCCCCCAGTTCCATTACTTTTTTAGTACTCATAATCAAATCTGAGATTCCCAGCCTTTTCTTCCCATAAATCTTCCTCCAACGCTCTCTCCAAATTTCCCTAAGGGTGCGTTTGGATAAGTGGATTTTAAATGTAAGGTATTTGAAATATTAGCATTTGAAATGGATGTATTCGAAATATTAGCATTTGAAATACATGTAATTCAAATTCATTGTTTGGATACTCATTTGTAATTTGTTTGTATTTTGTATTTTATGATTTTCAATTTTTAATTTTCTGGTCACTTACTACAAATTTTGGTAATTTACAGTTTGGTACCCAAAATTATTTTTTCTTACAATTTAGTACCTAAACTTTTAAAAGTTTACAAAAAGGTCCTGAAATTTTGATGGTAAAATTACATTTTGGTACCTTTATATGTTTTGCCTCACACTATAGTACCTAAACTTTTCATATTTTACAAATAGGTCCATTCTTTTGTTAGGAGGTATTTCAAATCACTAGTTGTTGAAATGTATTTGAAGTTGACAAAAAATACACTAGACATGTATTTGGAAATCACCCCATGAATTTGACACAAATCCAAATACCAAATGTAATTAATATCCAAACACATGATTTGGTATTTGGAAATCCAAATCATAAATACCAAATCCAAATCATTGTATCCAAACGCACCCTTATAATATTCCATATCAGCCTCCTCACTCTGTAATTCTGGAAGCAGGTAATATCTGGGGTGAGCAGATGGAGGGCAACATAGTCATTTCGGGGAAAGAATTGTTCAATTGGCACACAAAAAAAAAGTTAACCGGCTTGAATATGTGGAGGAAGATTAGGCTTGACTATTCTCAAAATCGGATGGGAAGAGTGATAGAACCTGGGATTAGGGTTCTATCGGGAATTG